TTTCATATACGTGTGTCTCCTCATTGTATCCAGCTGTTCTTTTAACTGCATTAACGGTATGTATGAAGTTTTTGGGATCAATGAGCTCTTTAATAGTTGTAACAGGTGACACCTCTCTTGCACATATTAGGAGTCTCCCAAGCTCCCTCATCTTTTGGCGGATGTGTTCATGCATTTTAACTCTTGACCCATACTTGTTGTAAAGATGCTTTCCCAGCTCTAAAATGCACCAGTCATTTCTAGCTTCAAGCGCCACTTGGTCTTGGTTCATGGAATTTAACAGCTTCCAAACACCATGAGTTACTCCCGGTGGGGGAGGCTGAGCAAAGCCACAGAGAGCCTGGACACGGGTTTTTCCAGGTTTAGGCTTCATGTCACCAGGCTTGAATTTGCAGACTTTCAAATGCCTCCACAGAGTCTTCTTTAAGAAAAGTCCTTGACAGTAAATGCAGTGCATGAATCTTTCCCCTTCCAAGTTCTTCTTAGGCAGTTTTCGTGGAATCATCTGCCCTGCACCTGTATTAATAATTGCAGTATTGTGAGCAAAATTACCTTTGTTACGCAGATACTCAAGCTGCTTTCGCCTTTCTCTGGAGCCCTTTGGATGACTGAGAGCCTTTGCTACCTCTACCTCCTTGCTATGTTTGCGCTCCAGGTGTCTAGCAATTTTCGTCAATGCACAGCCACAAAAAAAGCAGTGTTGTTTCTTGTTATACATTCTTGCTCCATCCCTCTTTTTAGTGATAGCTGAGATAATCACTGAACTTGTACTGTCAGGAACTGAGGATGTGTCATGGCTCTGGGAGCTCTCTGGGTCACTGCTGTTCTGAGTTCTGCAGTTTTTGTTTCTGTTCTCAACTAAACTGCACTGGTCTGGCAAAGTCTGCACCTTTCCTTTACCTTTTGGCGAAACAGTAAGGCTTATGCTACTATCTGAACTCTCGTCCGATGTGTCAGGAATGTACTCATCCTCACTGACTTCAGATAACTCATCTTCACTTGAATCAAAAACTTCTGCATGCTCCGCAATCTTCTGTCTAGCCTTAAAGACAATGACCATTAATTTCAGTTACTCCTCATTCATGGTTTTTTCTTTGCGATAATGAAGAAAAAAATGAAATGAACACTTACTCTGACATTAATTGCTCTTTTGAATGTCTTTGCAGAAGTGGGATGTTGTTCACTTAATGCAGAGGGTATACGTGTCCATCTGCCATTGTCTTTAATATCAGTATTGTCACCTTCACTGCTTGCACTTGAATTTTCAGAGTTGAAAAGATCACTCGAGTCATCATGATTTGCAGGTCTTGTCTAAGAAAAACAAATTAGACACTCATGTCAGAAAAACAGCTCTTCAACTAATCCAGGAAAATGTGTGCTTATATTATATATGCTTTTTATAATGAAAATACCTTCAAACTGTTTTGAAAGATTCAATGTAATAAATGTAAACTGAATCGATTGAATCGACACCTATATTGTTTTAGGGAAGAATATCATACATAAAAACAAAGCAACAGATATCCTTGATAATGAAATGACTATTCATAAGGACCATTAATAAATTTTTTTAGACATGCAGTATCACAGTCTTTATGTTTAAAGTTGCAGTAAAATGGAAGTAGCGACAGATCTTTTGTTCTGTAATGTGATATCAAATATGTGATATATATCAGCATAATATATATATCAGCATAATATATTTGATACATCTAATATATTATGCTGCTTTAGAAAAAAAAGCTGATATTGAAAGTATGCAGCAGTTAAAAACTAAAATGGCTTTAACGTGACGTTATAAAATTAAATACCTGTTTAAAAGATGTTGTAGCTTTAGAACACAGGACTTCATCTTCACTACTGGAGTAGTCAACCAAAGGCTGAAAAAAAAAAAAAAAGTGGTAACATTTTATGGCAAATTATATTCAATATCTGGTTTTCAAGCACATATTAAAGCTAATTAAATCATGTTCGTGTGGGTGCACATACCTCATGTGTAATTTGTCATCAATTACCACCACAATCATCAATTACTGTATCCCAAATTATAGTATGTTGGATTATTCCAAAGTTCCCCCGATGGTCTACTGTTTCAGTAGAAATTCAAAGTGCAGATCTTTACAAACTGTAAATGCTAATAATGGACACAACACACTGCATGCTGGACTAGAATTGATAAACTAAAAACACGGATAAAAAGTGGTAAACTACAAACATGGCAGATACACGAGTAGAGAAGTTTAGATGATTAATAATATCTAAACTGATGAAAACCCAGTCAACACGTGAGATCATGCGATGATCACAGTGACATCACACGATCCTCATACTGTGATCCTCACGGTGTGAGTAATATATATATTATTAAGTACAATTGTATAAACCATTTTTTTTGGCAGATTGATTGTAGTTTGAATGGGTAATGTTTAAAAGTTTGTTAACGTTAAATGTAAAACAATAGGACATTTGTAAAACACTGCAGTGGAACTATGGTAACCTACCTTTATAATCGCTTATGTGTTTAGCCTCTAATTCGTCGGTCTTGTCGGTGGCATTGATAACATGCTCCTCCGCGTCTTTTACTGGTTTAATCCTCCTCCGTCTCATGTTGCTCTTCCCCGAAGGCCGTGTCAGTTTCACCGGTGCTCGAGTCAGCGTCGCCTTGGGACTCACAAACTTCGCTCCTGTCTTCTTAATGGCACGCACAATCTTTTCCTCAGGTAAGCATGTAGTTTAACTTTATCTGTGTCTTCGCCATATTAAAAAAAAAATACAACATCAATTGCAACACAGAGACACCTCGCAAGAAAATTCCATCAACTTAATTTCAAAATTTTACGCGATTTAAATATATGATGTCTTTTTTATTATTGAATTGTCAAACTGATGTGAAAAACGGTCTGATTACCTGAAAAGATTGATCAATCCGTTGACTGAGGCTGATTAATCTTGTTTTTCATCAGGTGATCTACAGTTCTGCGCATGAGCAGTTAGTAAATTGTGTAAGTGTGCTTGAGGGTGCAGTTCCGCGGCCAGACTACAGGGGCGCTGAAGAGCAGCGCTGCCACACACACTCACACACTCAGAGCAGGGATTTGCTCAGGAAAAAAACTGCACTAGGCATATCAGCAACGCCC